AATCACATGTGCGTTTGTTGTCAACATGTAGTTTGACATTCACAAAATTGTTTGTGCAAAAATAATTGAGTTAAGAGCACAATTTCAGAATGTGTAATCAAGACAATTTATCTTGGTAATAATGATAAATACTCAAGATGATGTGACACTACATGTCTCAAATAGTAAAATCATTGTTTACGAAAAATAAAGTTTCATGTGTTGATCTGAAATATAATATTACATACAAACATAATTGTTTGAATCAAACCAATAAGTTATGATCAATTTTTCTGTTAATTGGTTTATGGTCAGGGACCAAATAGTTTTCATATGATAATTTTAATGTGAAATATATGATTAATGAATATATTATGATGCACAAAGATAGATTCTCCAAAAGATTGAGATATATGTTAGTTTTTCTAACATAAGGGGAGATTAGAAGCAACACAAGAGTTGTAAGTACATCTATTGAATATCCCTTAAGGATAAAGTCTATGACATGCATGAAGCATGATAGACTAATCAATTCTAAATAAAACTAATCCTTGAAAAGGGGGAGGATCAAAGAATCAAAATGATCATAATAAGGAGACAATGTGCTCTTGGAGAGCCTACGACATAACACTTTATGAAAACCTCATGGGAGGGGTAGCTACCTAAAAATAATAAAGTGGTGAGATCTCAAAAGTTTAGTCGTATCGTGAATCGATACAAAATGATATATCGTTGACGATATCTTTGATACAATAGCGCACAATATTGTAAAAGATTATGAGGATATGAATTCTACATCTATTAAAGCATACTTGTGTAGAAATAATTATCAAGTGAAAAGTGGAATGATGCATCTTCGTAAGCGTATAGCTTATTTGACTTGCAATCTAGTCACTAGAATATATCATACATTTAATATTGAATGTTATCACTTTACAGAATTAATATGAAAAGTCATGAAGGATTCAAAATCTAAAGTATGTGCAAGTTTTTGGAGAACTTGTTTATAATCTTTATAAGGATTAAATCGATTCAAAATACATGAAGCATATGTAATATATCGATTCAAAATGCGTGAAGCATATACAAATATTGTTATGCAAGTTGATAACTAGAATTGAAACTCTTGAAGAGTTTTCAAAAGGCAATAGATTATTTTCTTAAAGAAGTTAAAGTAAGGAACTTGCAGAAATCTTTGATCTTGAAGGAAAGATTCATAAAAGTAGATAGAAGAAAGCATATTTCGTCAAGGTTTTTCTACTCATGAGCTCCCAAGAATGGTGATATCAACATGCAAGAGGTATGTTCAAGTAACATTATTGTTGATTTATTCACCAAGTCTCTATCAACTACAACTTTCAAGAAGATGATGCACAAGCTTGGAAAACGAAGATTCTAGTTTCTGAATTGATGTTCTCATAAGGGGGAGTTAATACGCGATGTACTCTTTTTCCCTCACAAGGTTTTGTCCCATTGGGTTTTCCTTGTAAGGTTTTTAATGAGGCATCCATAATGCGTATTATTAGATATGTGTACTCTTTTTCCTTCACTAGATTTTTTCCCATTGAGTTTTATCTAGTAAGGTTTTAACGAGGCACATAATCTACCGACATTCAAGGGGGAGTGTTATAAACAATTTGTGTTATAGTGAATGTCTAATTATGTGGAGTCCTAGTAGGATATGGTTAGGAATCCTACTTGGGGACCAAGTAAGGTTTTTCCTATAAATAAAGGGTTTTCCTTCATTGTAAATAAGATTTGTGAAAGATCTATGAATCCTGAATATACTTCAAGAGAAATAAGAAATCTTTTCTCTTCTCCCTACTTTCTTCTTCTTCTAAATTTATATAGTTTCATAACATATATATATATATATATATATATAAATTTATTTTTTGATTTATTGTTCCTTTTCTATATAAAATGAATGTTGATTTTATAATGAATTGTTCTTTGAAAGCTATAATGTGCAAAACATTATGCAATTGTTTGGATTTATTTTTGCTTTTAATTTTCATATAGTTCTAATTTATTTTTTTATGTATACCTTATATTATTAACTTATCTTATTTTGGTTTTATGGAAATTATGTATTTTATCTCAATTAAATTTTAAAAGAAAAAATCATTATGTAAATGTATTTTTTGAACCGCGTTGACGGGGATAAGTACACTAGTAATTCTTAGTACACGAAAAATTGAGAAAATTTTTGAATTTCTATTTCGTGACCTCTTAGCATTAAAAATATCGTGTGTATTCTGTTGAAACAATGAATATCATTCACTAGGTGATGGTTCTTTAAAATTCGGACACAAAAAGCTATGGATAAATATATTTATGAAATATTTGCAGATTAATACACACAAAAAATTAAAAAGAAAAATTGAATTTCTGTTCCATGACCTCTAAATGCTAAAAAAAATGGCACCTGATCCTATAGAAACTCTGAATATCATTTAGTAGGTAATCATAAATAGTCGTATAAAATTTTACGTGAAACTATTCCGAACAATCATATTAACAAAAATATTCATAGGATAATAATATACACATAAAAAACAAAGAAAAAGCATTAATACATGTTTGTGACCCTTAAATACTAAAAAAAAAGTGGTGTGAATCCTTTAGAAGTTATGTATATCCTTATTAATTATGTAATTCTAGATAGCCCTACAAAATTTAAAAATTTTGGGCGTGCGCGCGCGCGCGCGCACACACACACACGCACGCACGCACGCACGGCATGGTAAAAGACTCTAAGAGGACTGCAAATCCTTTTTCCCCAGTTCAAATCCGGATGTCGCCTGATCAACAAAAAAGTAATTGGAAACATTCCGCATTTACAACATATCATTTAATGAAAAACATCAACTTTTCAACTCTTTGTACATATCTTCTTTTCCACAGGCCAGAATAAGACTGGTCAACGGACCGGAACCGGGTCACCGGATCGGAATGAACCGGTACCGGACCGGACCGGAATCCGTTGACCGGAATTTTGACCGGTATCGG